TTTTGCAAAGCTATATGTGGAAGGAAACTGTGACTTAGGACAAGCTGATGGCATAAGATGTAAGTACAACTCCTCTGGTTTCATATGCAAAAAAAATTATTGCGCTAGCTTACGTGGTTGCAGTGCAACCGGCGTGCCCGCTCCCACCGGCTTTAAAGGGTTAAGAATGGGAGGTCACTCAAGTTCATGTGTGTGTTAAGGCAGACGAGCAAATACTTTTTGCAATACAAAGTATAAATCATTGCTTGGGATTCATGTGGGATTATCGCTGTATGAATTTCCATAAACTTTTCCTTAACTTTATTTTTCTCCACTGGTTTCTTTTAGCTCTTCACCCATTATTTTGTTCTTGTTCTATTTTATTCCCTCTTACTGCCATCTTTACCTCCTTCTTTATTCACCCCTTATCTACTACCCTCTTTGTAACCCATCTTCTCATCTCGCTCCTCCTTGTTGTGCTCTCCTCACAGGGCCCAGACCAGTGTGTAAAATGCCTCCACTTCAAAGACGGCCCTAACTGCGTAGAGAAGTGCCCCGACGGGCTGCAGGGAGCCAACAGTTTCATCTTCAAATACGCCAAGGCCAACAACGAGTGTCATCCCTGCCATGCCAATTGCACCCAGGGGTAAGAGAGGGATGATACATAAAGATGTGTCTATGTATAAAAGTTAATCCGTTTCTTTCAAGTGTCCACTCGCCTTCATAGTTACCCTGAGCAGCTTCTGGCTTTGGTGCTTTTATGCTGTTAAAAGCATCATGGAGTCATACTGCATTGCACTCAGGTGGTATAACAGACAAGGAACACCTCTCTCCCAAGGAGAGAGGGACTGAAAGAGGGAGAGAGAGCATAATTTAATCTTGCAGCTGCTAGATTCTTTGACCTGTTGCTAGATTTGGGGATGCCCTCCAGTCAGGGGTGGAATGTATTGACCCTTAAGGTACAGTGCAGATGAACTGAATGAATGAATGAAGGGACAGACAGTAGTAGGGGAGATATGAAGCCAGCAGGCAGAGTGATGTGGGTAAACGATAAAGAAGACATAGAGGAAAAATGGCTGGCTCTAGGTATAGAAGCAGGTGGAAGAGAGAACAAGAGCTGCATGCACCAAAGATCCAAAAAGGACCAGATTTAGCTCATTAAGGAGTGAGCAAGATAGCATTTGCCATCTTCTGCTTACATTTGAATAAAAATTGGGGAAACTGTCTGTGCTTCCCGTAAAAAGCACATTTAGAACTCATCCAGGGATAGCTGCCAAAATAGGTGTGAGATGATAATGGGGATTAGTACTGAATCAGTTATTGAGTTAATCTATTGAGACTTTGTACAAAAATGACAGTTTATTGTTTTTCAAATATGTTTTCATTTTGACCCATAATCTGAGAAAACAAGCCGTAAGGACAGAGGAATCTGGCCCTGGGAAAATGAGATAGCCACTCGTTGATATTTGTTGACAGATTTTTTTCAAAAATTGGCAATGACTTAGCTGAACCTTTTAGTCTTTTGAGCCCAGTTTTTTTTAGCCTTAATTCTAGCATTATGAGTGAGAGAGGGTACATAATCATCTACACCACAAATATTCTTAAATTGAGTTGAATTTGCCACTTTATATCCAATTAGCTACTCGTGCATTTCTTTAAGACATAATGTAATTTAAAAGGATGAGTTTCGTATTTAAAAAAATAATCATATAGTTGTCACAGAACAGGACATTAGAGACTAAACTGTTTTGTTATACGAAGCTATAAATATGATTAATTCTGCTGTAAAGTTGGGGATTTTTAACATGGGGTGTATCATGGCTCACTTTTGGAGTTACAAAGCAGGAACTCCAGCAACACTTGTTCTTCACAACTTTAATAATAGACCAACGCGTTTCGGCTTGTGGCCTTCATCAGGGTCATCCTGGTTGACCCTGATGAAGGCCACAAACCGAAACACGTTGGTCTACTATTATTAAAGTTGTTCATCTTCCCTCAAGTGTTGCTGGAGTTCCTGCTTTGTGAATTCTTTTATCCTCTCCATGCACCTTGGAAGCAGGTGAAGTTGTGCCTGAAATTTTTTTTGCTGCGATTTCACTTTTGGAGTTAGCCTCAAGTGGCTATTAGTAGTGTCTTGTTTTGCAGATAAGTAGTGGGTTTTAAAATTGGACTAAAGTAATAGTTTAACTTTGAGAAAATATACAGATTTGCTCTCTTGCTAACAGTTAGATTGACAGCACCCTCATTAGTACATTACGCTGGTGTCACAAAACGGCCGGAGGCCGAGTACCAAAAATCAAACCCACGTGCAGATTACCCAAAGCGGAGGCTGAGGAAAGGTTTCAACAAAGGTTTATTAACTAGCACAAGAATGATGTTTACGATGGCACTTGACTTTAGGCTTGACACATGGGGCATGAGGGTCTTGGCCAGGGGAGAGGGATAAAGCAAGGGGACAGGTCCAAGAAAGCAATGGCAGCTGGCTGGTGATTAGCTACGTACTGGAAGAGAGGAGAGCAGTGTTAAAGCGGTAGCCAATGAGGAGTTCTGGAGAGGGTGGAAGCTATGAAAATCTTCGTCTTACTGTGCAGGTGGGAGATGGAAGCGTTGAAGGAGAGCGGTCCGGGTGGGTTTGGTGGTGTGTGTCAGCTAGTTGGCTTAGCCATGTATAGAGACAGGAAACAGGTTTATAAATGTCCCCATTAGCTAAACCATCAACCTCCAAAAACTGGGCAGATGTTTGTGTTGTATATAATTTTGCTCAGAGCCAAATATTTCTCTTTTTTTTTTTTTAGCCTTATTTGCTATTTGGCTTAGTTTATTGCTAAGCTAATGGTCTTAGCTTAGCAGTAAACTAAGCCAGTTAGCATTAAACTAAGCCAGCCCTTAGCTTTATTTTTTTCCATTAAAAAAAAGTGAAAATGGTGTAAACTTTCCTATCATATTCTACACAACAAATCCAAAAGTATTATTTCCCTAAGGGTTAACCTGTGCCCTTAATGCTCTGAAGGATGTGATAACATCACTTTTTTTGCTAAGTTTAGCGCAACCACCAGCAGCCTTTTATCTGTCTGTTCATATTGATTGAATTTTATCACTGATTAACTTTTATATAATATATTATTTATGTGCTGTTTTTGTTGTCTTGAAGTTGAGTACTGTCTGTGTGCTCTGAGACAACAGATGTACATTAGCAGCTAGGTATCACCAGTGCACTTAGTTTTAAATGTGTTCTGTTCCTTTTTTAACTATAAAATAACTAAATAAAATGTGGCAGATTCAAACACACAGTGAATTTATGTGAGTTTCTTAATGTTCTACAAAATGCCTGCCAATCAAAATGATAAATAATAGTTTAGCCGTCACGTCTCTCCCGACATACTTTAATACTGAGGCCAAAGCAGTATAAGTCTTCAAAAGAATGGCAGTTGTGGTTGTGGGGAAAATTTACTGTTCTTACCTATTTATGTTTTCATCCTCTAAAGCTTGTTTTTTGAAGCCAGTATAGCTTTGGCTTTGAACTTGAGCCCAGGTCTTTTTAGATTTTCTGCTAGTGGGGAGACTATTATGGAAGAAGCCGAACAGTGGGGACTGGTAAGACAGACAGAAGATGATGAGTGAGGTGCTGAGGTGGAGCTTGTCGGTGGTCTCTGCAAACAAAGTTAGACTTCTGAATCCTAGCAACAGGGCTGGCAAGACGGTGTGCAGTAGAAAGGAACTTAATGTTCTTTCTCTAACATGGCAGGAGGTCATATTATTTTACTGCAGCTAGCCTGTAAATGTTGATAGTATCAGTGCAGCTTTAAAGAAACATGGAAAGGAGAATTTTCAAAGTAGAGGGGATGACAAAGGATGGAGAAGGTACAAATTATTTACAGATACACAAGTTGAAGATCAAGAATATTAAGGATAAAACCACAATTTTTACATCTTGTATAGAATCGGTACCTTGTTTAAGGACACGTTCACATGGCAGGTCACTCATTAGACGACTTTCCTGACAAAAAATAATCCCTGGCTTGTTGTGTCTGTTGTCAGAAAAGTCCTTTGTTTTCTGCTAATGCAGAAAGAAAACTGATTGAAAACACACACACACAACACAACACTGGATACAGACACTGATTGCTTGCTAATTAGCTATTTGGTACACCATTTAACTGACAACCAAGTGACTTTTGAGGAGCCACAGTTGTCACCGATTTAATTCCAAAGTTAGCCTGCTCTCCTAATTTGCTAAGCAATTTATTGTGTCGTGTGTGCTCACACAGCCTTCTCGTGCACACACACCGAATCATTCAAAACCTGTTCTCCTGTGTCTTTCTTGTTGTTCAAAAGTCCTCCACTCAAGGATCTGGAATTAATGAGCAGCTAAGAGTCTACTCTAATCACTTCCTGCTTACCTAGTGTTAACAACACTTCTTACTGATCGCTGTGCTTTCACCACCATCCTGCTTTGATTGTTCCGATAGGAAGAAACAAAGATAAACTTGTATTTCTTGTTCTTGGAGAAAAAGATAAATGTGATTCTGCGAAAGATAAAGAGTGATATCTCACAACAAAAACTAAAGCATTCTTCTTTTCAGTCATCAAACATTTCACGGCAGGGCCAATTAACAATGAAATGATTGATAATTTAATAAATGTGATGGAAACATGTATTGTATTGCAAATTGTATACAAGCTCAGAACGTTTAAGGTACAAGATGTAGCTGCCATGTTACATTGAGGCTACACTGAGACTAGATGAGATATGCAGTACTTATTGATGGTTGTCATAGAGAAGCTGTGGACCAGGGTGTCCAACTCCAGGCCTCAAGGGCCGGTGTCTTGCAGGTTTTAGATTTCACCCTGGGTCAACACACCTGAATCAAATGATTAGTTCATTACCAGGCATCTGGAGGACTTCAAGCCATTTGAATCAGCTGTGTTGGATCAAGGCAACATCTAAAACCTACAGGACACTGGCCCTTGAGGCCTGGAGTTGGACACCCCTGCTTTAGACTATCTTAAAACCATAGATACCCCGACTATCTATCCACTGTAGTCCACAAGATCATCTAAGAACATTTTAAGTACATTAAGTACATTTTTGTAACAATAAAAACGCAGCATTAACCCTGAACTAAGCCCTCAAATACTTTACTTTGTAGTGTAGGCATCAGGTTTTCCTAAGGCAGGAAGAATCTTCAAGGAAATGTATAATGAGGTCAATGCGTTCAAAAGGCTCCACCATGGGTTGACCCATACAGGCCGAAATACAGATAGCTTACCCAATAAAATGGTTAACTCCAAAAAGCTTGTCGCACATACATATACAGTCACCTTTGGGGCTGATTAATCCAGCCAACAGGTGTCATTTCTCACATTCAAATTTTGTGTACTTCTGGCCACATTGCTCTTTTACCCCTGTTTTTCTCTCTCCACCAATCCTTGAAGGTATCACATGCTGCTATCTATCAGTTTTATCAGTTCTAATGCTTTACTTTGTTTTTTAGGGAGTAGCAAGTCTTGTCCATCTGCCACGTGTCTCTGGGCAGGTAGCGTGCGGTGGGTTTTGAAAGCTGCTTTTGTAAATGTAAATTTTCGTAAATATAGAGAGCGGAAAAACCCCAAAGAGCTGAGGAGATTTGCATATTTAGGTGATTATTATCTGTGTATTCATCACTTGGGCGGCTCCTTTTTCCTCACTGACAAGCTGTCATTATGCTCAGCCGTTTATCAAGCAGACATGCAAACAGTATAACACCACTGCAATAAAACTGTATACCATAAAAGGCTTTAGTTTCTTTTAAGAAATATCCCTGCAGCTACCATATTTAAGGTAAATGCCACTTTATAAAGCTGCGTGAGGAATGAGGGTGGCTGTTAATACCACTAGAAGGCCCGACAGTAAATCCTGTCATACCAGAATATGTGAATCTTGACCTCCACTCTCTAAAACTTTAGACCACAAGTTCATACCCAACATTTCTCAACCTCATTACTGTTTTTGGGGCTAAAATGGGGAAATGCTCAGTGGAGTCAGAAATGGCCTTATTGTGCCCTTTTTTTAATTGCCGTTATTAATCTTTTATAACTATTGAAAGTTTTCTTTTTAGATTGATATTTGTCTCTTCCCCATTGATTTCCCCATAGGTTTGAAACAGCACTTTGGTTTGAACTAAATGATGTATGTTGGGATGTTTGTTGGGTTTTTTGTCTCAGCCCAGAAATCCATTGAAATAGCATGTGAACCAAATGAGAACAAACAAGCCTTCCAGCTCACACACCTCTTCGTGTCATATTGACAAGCGGTCAGCCGTGCTCGGGATTCAATATTTCACAGGTCCCGGCCAGTGACAGCTGATTGACGTGGAAGAAAAGCAACATGAGGTTTACTCATAACCTGTCCCCGATTTAATGGATGATCTCTCTGGTTTCTCTGCCCTGCAGGTGTGTCGGGCCAAGACTCCAAGATTGTGTTGGGATGATGGACAGGTAAGGCGTCTCAGGATACATTTGTGATGTGGGACTGGGAGACCACCATCAGATCCTGCTAAAACTCATTAAAGTTTCTGTTAAATCCCGTACCTTATGATGCTCATTAACAACAGTGTAGTCTATCTGACAGGTAACATGGGAATCTTTTGTTGTTGTCTAAGCTTGTGCTAAGCCTTCGTCTGGTCCAATTATGTTACTTTGACTGTGTCTGATATGTGTAGACGGAACCAGCAAGGGAAAAAAAAACCAAAACAAAATTCCTCTGAAAACCTTAACAGATGTGGGATAGACTGTATGGAGGACCAAAGTGCCAAAATAAATCAATAAATAAACTATTAAAAGTATCAAAGATATTTACAAAATGTTTCTTTAATTTCATTATAAATGATAATTTTGGTCTTTTGTATGTTGT